TTACCATAGCCAAGATATGGAATCAACCCAGATGTCCCTCAGTGGAATGGATCAAGCAAATATGGTACTTATACACAACAGAATTATATGCTTCCATGAGAAAGAATGACATTGCCCCATTTGTTAGGAAATGGAAAGACTTGGGAAAAAACTTCATATTAAGTGAAGTGAGCCAGACCCAAAGAAACATAGGCTGTCTAATTTCCCTCTTACTTTTTTTTTTTGGTGTAAGTTCTGGAGCTTGAACTCAGGGCCTGGTGCTATTCCTGAAATTTTGTGCTCAAGGCTAGCTCTATCACTTGAGCCACAGCTTCACTTTTTGATTATTTATTTATCTTGTGGTCATTTGGAGAGAAGAGTCTCATGGCTTTTCTGCCCTGGGTGTCTTTGAAACACAATCCTCAGATCTCAGCCTCCTGCATAGCTAGAATTATAGGTGTGAGCCACCAATTTCTTGTTAGTTACTTACTATATGGTCTGTGTATGTCTAACACAGTGCTTATTACCTTATATTAATTTGCTCAGTGATACAGCTGCTCACTGCTCAACTAATATGAAAACCTTTAGCAATATTATGTCTAAGAAAAAAGGGGGAAATGAACTGTCATAATTCATCAGGTCCCTAAAGTGCCACTGTTTTTCCCTTAGCAATGTCAGCATCAGAGCCTTTCTATAAACAGACCGAGATGACCACATGTAGAGGATCTTTATTCTGTGTATTTATCTTTTTTTGTTGTTGTTGTTGGTCCTGGGGCTTGAACTCTGGGCTTGGGTGCTGTCCTTGCACTCTTCAGCTCAAGGCGAGTGCTCTACTGCTTGAGCCACAGCGCTACTTCTGGTTTTCTAGTGGTTTATTGGAGCTAAGAGTCTCAGGGACTTTTCTGCTGGGGCTGGCTTTGAACCGTGATTCTCAGATCTCAGTCTCCTGAGTAGCTAGGATTACAGGCGTGAGCCACCAGTGCCTGGCTATTCTGTGTATTTATGTGAGGGGAGAGTCATTTGTTGTTTGTTGATGTGACTTCATAGTAAACAGTTCCTAAACTTAGCTATTTTCATTCTCCCAGAAAGCCACCCCAGAGCGATGCAGATGAATCCTAGAAATGGAGTAGAATCCTAGCAATAGTATTTTGAATGGATTCCAGGTCATTTTGCAGTAAGGCAAGCCTCTCTGTGGAGTCCTAGGAACCTCTGCTTCACCTTGTCTAAAAGGAGTCTGCCTCCTCTTCTCTGCTTTTAGTGCTCTTTTCTTTTGCTAAAGGGTCGCAATGCCAGGATGAAATCTATTTGATATGTCATTAACACCCTCATGTGATTTAGTTTGATGTACTGTTTCTTCAGAAATGCTAATGGTAGGACTCTATGATAGCTTGGAGTGGGGGTGGTAGAAGGAAGAGAATCTTGGCTTCCTGGCCCAACACATGACTAGTTAGGGAATAGTGTCCTTATATCAATTCACAAATTCTCTCCTGTATACAAATAATCTATTACTGTACTGAGATTAATTTTAGGAAGAGAGTGAAAATAAAGACAAAGGGAAATCTAGGAAGTACTTGGAATCCTCCATTGCTCCCTCCTTCACCCTCCCTCCTAAGATTTTATTAAGTGCCTGACTCTGAAGTCTTGTGTTATATTTTGATCTGCTTCTTTCCAATTCCATGTTACTATATGCTTGTTTATAATCGTTCTTGGGACTTTAAAAGATTTAAGTATGCTTTTTTTTCCCTTGGGAAGAAATATATGGAAAAAGAAAACATGAAGCTTAAAGTTAATTTCTAACTAAACTGTTTTAGAGGGGGAATTGTTCTTCAAAATATCATAGTAGATTCTTCTTTTCTTTTCATGCCTTTTTGTTCCTCTAGTGTCTTTTGCTTTTGTGATACGAAGTCTCATTTCTCTATTCTGTTTCCTTTTCCTTTCCGTCTCAATTTAGAATCTGTGACCTCAGAACATGCTTTCATAGCAGATGGAAAACTGTCAACATCTCAAGTACAGAGGAATCATCAATTCATATGTGCACATGCACACACACACATACACACTCTGAACTCAGGGTCTGGGGGCTGTCCTTGAGCTTTTTTGCTCAAGGCTAGTGCTTAATCATTTGAGCCATAGTTCCATTTTCAGCTTTTTTGGTGGTTAACTGGAGATATGAGTCTCACAGAGCCGGGCGCTGGTGGCTCACGCCTGTAATCCTAGCTACTCAGGAGGCTGAGATCTGAGGATCGTGGTTCAAAGCCAGCCATGGGACTCTTATCTCCAATTAACCACTCAAAAACCGGAAGTGATGTTGAGTCTCAAGTAGTAGAGAGCTAATCTTGAGCACAAAGAGGCTCAGGGACAGCACCTAGGTCCCAAGTACAAGCCCCACAAATGACCAAAGTCTAGAACCTTTTAAAAAAAGTGTTAAAATATTCTGAATATTCAGTGGTTATGGAGAGCTTTCATAAAATGCTATTTTATCTATTCAGTGCTATTTTATTCTTTTTTTTTTTTTTTTTGGGTCAGGTCGTGGGGCCTGTACTCTGGGCCTGGGCGCTGTCCCTCAGCTCTTCAGCTCAAGGCTAGCACTCTATTACTTGAGCCACAGCGCCACTTCCTGCTTTTTTTTTTTCTTTTTTCTTATGTGGTGCTGAGGAATCGAACCCAGGGCCTCATGCATGCAAGGTAAGCACTCTACCACTGAGCCACCTTCCCAGCCACAGTATGATTTATGGTTTATAGAAAAGGTGGCAAAACTATATCTGTTTAAAGCTAATGCTTGCACTGGAGCTTTGGTGCCTTCTTTTACTTGTCTTCGGATGTACACATCAATTCAATGTGTTTATGGCTACTTAGTCTATCAACTAAATCCTTCCCATCATCTGTTCAGCATGCTCTAATTTCTTCACACTTAACCCAAACAGAATGAAACCCACTTTTGACCTATATTTCCTTTACTTCCTTATTCCTATCTTCACCTACAAAGTCAACTTTGTTTTTTGGCACTTCCACATTCTTTTCTTCACCTCTACTTTGTCTGGTCTTTGCTATCACTACCTCAAATAATTGTGGAAGCCAGGCACTGTTGGCTCATGTTGTAATCCTAGCTATTCCGAACCTTGCAATCTGAGGATCTAGGTTTGAAGCCAGTCCAGGCAGAAAAGTCAGTGAGACTCTTATCTTCAGTTAACCATGAGAAAGCCTGAAGTGGAGCTATGGTTCAAGTGGCAGAGCACTAGCTGTAAGCAAAAAAGAGACAGGACAATGTACTGTGCCCTAAGTTCAAGTCCAGTACTGGTCCCTCCCCCCAAAAAAAGTGGGTAAGGTGGTTGAAACTTTCCACATTGTTAAATTTAAGACTTAAAAAAATTTTATGTGCTCATCTCACTAGATGAGTAAGTGTTGATTTTAGCAAGGATCTGACACTTTTTGTGTGGGTGACAGGGAGAAGAGGTGAGTTGAGAGAGTCTATGCAGCCTTTGACCTCATGTCCTTCTGCCTCAGCCTCCTGAGTGCTGGGATTACAGGTATATACCTCCATGCCCAGCAGCATTTACTTCTTGAATAAATTCCCTTTCATTCCAGAAACACTCTCCTGGATGCTCTTACCTTTTTTGTTGTTCCTCTTCTCTTTCTCCTTCCAGGTTTTCTTCTATGGGATATTAGATATCCCAATAGCCCAAGTCTTGTTTCTAGGCCTCTTCATCTCACTGTAAACTTGGTCCTAGGCAATCTTATCCACATCAGCAGCTCAACCCTCAAAAAAATAGTTTGAGATCAGATTGCACAGGCTTGACACAAAGTGAATTTGACATTTAAATCTAACATATATTTAACTTGAAGCTTTTTCAGAGGTGAAAGGTCATCTCCCATAATGAAATTTCAAATACAGTAACAACAAAACAATAGAATTCTCCTTATTCAAGCCTTGAATCCTGACTCTATAGTTGGAGGACATTTCTCAAATCTTCCCCTTCCCCTTCATCTCCATTGCTACTATTCTAGTTGAAAACAGTCAATATTTTTTTTCGAGTAAGTCTTTTTACTTCTATAATAAAAAGGTAAATAACTAGCATTCTTAAATGTTAAGAATGTTAAGAATTAAGGGCTATTTACAGTTGAGTTGAACATAGTATTAATTCTATAACTTTACATTTTTATTTGTAAAAACTGGAACTTTTTTGATCGTATTTCAATCAACATTTAGTCTATTTTTTTCATGTCTTTTAATAAAATTTTATAATAGTTCCCCAAGAAGTTTTATACATATTTTGTGAAGATCTTTTAAAAAGAAGGGTGTAGGAAGAAGACTGACTTTTTACCCTTTTTAAAACTATTTGGGTTTTTATTTCATTTTATGTGTATATATATATATATATATATATATATATATATTTTGTACCGGCCCTGGGGCTTGAACTCAGGCCCGGGGCACTGTCCCTGAGCTTCTTTGCTCAAGTCTACTGCTCTACCATTTGAGTCACAGCTCCATTTCTGAAGAACCTTGACTTTTCTTACTTAGTTTATTTTAAAAATATTTTTGTCTTGAACTCAGGGCCTAGGCGCTGACCCTGAGCTTTTGGTTCAAGGTGGTTATTGATATAAAAATTAAATCTTCACAATGTTTCCTCCGAGATTTTTTTTGTGAACACACTATACAGAAGGGGAGATTTTTTTTTTTAATAAACTATTTCCCTTAGCCTTTATCTTTATTATGCTGGTCTCTGACAGGTTCTGGCCACAGGAGGAAAAGTGCACACACTTGTGCACTTGGGACTACCAGGAACCATGAGGGAAGGGTGAATCTTTTGTAACACGCACTATCCGCATGAAGCAAGAATTGCACTGTAAAACAAAGCAAGATGACATAGGGCAAAAGTTCCTACCTGACCCGGGTCCTCCGCCCCGCCCGTCCCCCTCTCCCCCTCTGACAGCTCCGCCCCGGCCCCGCCCCGGGGGCGTGGCCAGGGAGGGGCTGCGCGCGCTCCGCTGCCCCCGCGCCCGCGGCGCATGTGCCGGTCCCCGCTCCACGGCCTCGGATTCCGCTTCCCCAGCGCCCGCGCGGCCGCGGCAGTCGCCGCTTTCAGGCCCCGAGTCGCCTTCGGAGTCCATGGCCGGGACGCGCTGGGTCCTCGGGGCGCTGCTCCGGGGCTGCGGCTGTAACTGCAGCAGCTGCCGGCGCACGGGCGCCGCGTGTCTACCCTTTTACTCGGCGGCCGGCTCCTTCCCCTCGGGCGTGTCGGGCCGGCGCCGCCTGCTGCTGCTGCTCGGGG